ACGTCTAATACATTGATGTCTGGCAGACTAATAAAGAGGTCCCCCTTTAAAAAATAGTGCAGGCGTCAAAGCCTGTAAGTCGTTAGGATCAGAGGACAATTGACATAGCGGTCTTGAATTTAAGCAAGCTTCAATTTGAGCTAAAACCATCATAAGTTCCTCGAAAACGAGTCGCGTTTCGCCAACAACTCTCTTTAAATGGTATTTACACGATTTTATTCCTGCTTCCCAAATACCACCCATGTGAGGCGCATGGGGGGGATAATTTCCATTCTATGCTTTGAGATGTACAATATTCTTCTATCGATTTGGAAAACGTTCTGATTGTCCGATACAATTCCTCAAGCTCTCTTTTTGCGCCGACAAAATTAGTGGCATTGTCGCTATAAATTTTTTGCGGATAACCTCGTCTGCTCACAAAGCGGCGCAATGCAGCCAAGAACGCACTCGATGTCAACTCACTGACTGCTTCTAAATGAACCGCTTTAGTCGAAAAGCATATGAACAACGCTATATATGATTTGCGACTTCTTTGTCCTCGGTCCTTATTTGCAACTGTAACAATAGGGCCAGCGTAATCAATTCCTACTGTCGAAAATACTCGTTGACAAGCGGTAACCCTATCCGGTGGCAACGATCCCATTATTTGATCTGACAACCTTGGCTTAACCCTGAAACACGTTACGCATCTCCTTGTTATTCTACGAGCAGTGTTGCGGCCGTTCAAAGGCCAAAATCTTTCCCGAATTGAAGAAAGCAAAGCTTGTGGACCGGCATGTAGCATACGACAATGTTCCCGTTCAAATAATAGTTCCACAAATCGACATCTTGCCGGCAGCAAAATCGGATGTTTTTTGTCATGATTAATAGCGGATCTCTGCAACCTGCCGCCCACCCTGAGAATCCCATCGTTATCTAAAAATGGACTCATATGGGCAAGCGCGCTGTTTCTATTTACGCGATCGTTAATTAAGTCATCCAACTCCCTTGTAAAAAATTGCTCTTGAACATGTTTGATTAATTTTAATTGCGACAGATGCAAATCCCTCACGGATAAGTTATCAAAATTGCGGTTCTCGAGATTGTTTCTAGAATTTGTGATGAATCGATAACACCAAGCAAGTACTCTTTCGATTTTGGTTAATGATGAAAATTTAGAAAACATTGTTTCGATTATCGACTCGGAATTAGCTCGAGCAACAAAAACTCGCATATTTCCCTTTTTTTCCGATTGTATGATATCAAATTCCCGATCGGAAAGTTCGCCCTTGCCTTGACATGGATCTTTGAATTCCGAAAGCCACGGTGGACCTGTCCACCACAATGAATTGCTATGAAAATTGTCAAAATTGATGCCTCGAGAGATTAAGTCCGCGGGATTTTCTGTACCTGCAACATGCCCCCAATGACTGCTAGGCAGGATAGATTGGATTTTGCTGACCCTATTATCGACAAATGTTTTCTGCCGACTCGGTTCACCCGCGATCCACGTAAGAACAACTGACGAATCGCTCCATGCATAGATTTTATGAATCCCAATAGTCAACGACTCACGAACAATCCGCATCAAATCGACCAACAAAACGGCTCCGCATAACTCCAACCGCGGGATGGTTAATTTTTAACGGGTCGCCACGCGTGATTTAGCGCATAACAATCTCGACGCAACTCGATTTGCATCATCAATTGCTCGCCGTAAATACACGTACCATAAGCTCGTTCTGATGCGTCACAAAACGCATGCAGACTGATATGCA